CTGCCACTCCAAATTGCTCATGAGAAAGTAAGTCCTTCTCCTGTCCTTCAGACAGCCCTCCTCTGTGCATAACATCAGATGCCTAGATCTCTGGAGGCATTATATAACTACTGTTACTATTTATGATAAGGCCCCAACCTCACTGGATTAGCCATTAAATACATGTAACAAAAATAATGACAGTTCTTTATGACAGATAATTAGAGTATTTTAAAAGCAGCTGCCAACACTCAACAGTCTTTATTTTTTTATTTTTTTTTTTAGGAAAGGTAACTGCATACCTCAAATGCTGTGTTTTACCCTGAGCTCTTAGATCAGAAAGACAAAGCTTCATTCTATCCTCGAGTTGCCTCTGCTGGTGACCTAAAGGTTACTTTGAATGCAGGGTCTACTTTGGTATTTAATACTGCAGACAGAACCTGCCACTTGTAGTTTAGTCAGCAAAGCAAACGGCAGCGAATCACTTGTGAAAACACAATCTTGTTCTCCATCAGGAGAGTTAAATGAAAGCCTAAGGAGTAACACTGCCATGGGGACTCACACAGGTGTAACTTGGAGAGCCATGCCACCTGAAGACGAATAAAATGTCTATTACACTTCCTTCACCCTCAGATGCCAGAAATTAAGCTGATATGACAGCTCTGAGCTTTTGGCATCTGTTACAGTATTCCAAAACTCCAAAGCTAGCCTACAGGCCAAGATGAAAAAGGTATCTGAAAAAGCTAGACAAAGTAGACCGTGCTGCTAACAAGTCCTGGAAAGGGACAAGTTCTGATTTACCTGGGTATCTACTTAAATTTACCAACACTTTCTCAAAGTCAGTCCTACAACACCTATTTCCACTTCCATTCCATTTGAGTTGTTATTCAAATTTACGACATTGCTGATATAAGATACTGCTAATGAACACCTCAAGAAGGTACAGTACTTGGCTACACTCAGCTGCACTGACAATTTGGCTTGCTAAAAAAAATAAATCCAAAAGAACTGTTATTTTGCACAAATTTCAAAACAAGACCATACTAATAATTTTGAATACGAAGAAACATAGGAATACACGACCAAAATCTCCCACTAAGTATGACATTGGCTTTTATCAAGGCATAGTCATGAAGCATTTTATTAAAAGAAATGAAGCTAAAGTTACTACAGTCAATGAATATTTCAAGGATTAGAATGCACTTTACAACATGCTGCAAATGTGAAAAATGCTGGAAGTACCCAACAGTTATCATTATCAGTGGAACCTTTCTAATAGAGTTCTCATGCTTCAAAACCACATTCTTTCATTCTTCTACACATCTGAAGGGAACAGTAAGAGAGGTCAAGCCTGAAGAAAAACAAATTCAAAAGAAAAGTTCATCTGTTCCCTTAAAAAAGCACCAATGACCAGATAGCTGTAAAGGAAGCAGATCCACGTGTCCTGACTGTCTAACTGCTCACAGTACATTTCTTGTCTCCTTGCTCAAGGTTTGTACAAACCATGATTCTCATCAGTTTGGATTATTTAAAGAGACAAATGAAAGCTGTGAAATATCAAAACTGCTGAAGAGTACTGTAGTTGTGTGATGTCAAAACCAGCAAAATCGATATTAAAACCTTCAGAGCAAAATACAAAGCAAAACTACAAACAAGATGGCTGGTAGTTACAATATAAAACTGAGAAGAAAGTACTACGGAGGAGTATGTAAGAATGAGATCTATAAAATAAAACATGGCTTTAATCAGAGCACACAGGTCTAATATATGTTTTGAATTTCACTTTTATATTTTCATTTCAAAACTTGAGAGACAGCATGCCACAAAGAAAACTACTTCAAAACACTCAGCATTAGCCTATCTTCAAAGTGGCTTGTATAAATCTTAAATTTCAGCAGCAGCAGTACATTTCAGTGCAAATTTTCCTACTGATAACATACTCCAAATAGTAATGGAAACTCACAAATGAAGTCATATTAGCATAGCTGGGGAATGGCTGTTATGAAAATCCTCAAAGGACCTCAAGAGTTTGCCTCAGAACTTTTTAAAACTTTCTGGTTCAGACTTACTTGTGACAACGCATTTCTCGCAACACCTTTCTTTACAGGAAAGACACCACAAATTGTGTTGTTTACACAGTAAACGCACACATGCAAAATCTTTATAGTGTTGAAAAAGAATTAGAGTTGTTCCTTCCTGTAGACAGACTATTTTTAAAATAGAAACCAATAATAAGCAGAGGAGGATCAAGGCAGAGATTAATGTTCCTCCATGCTTTTCAGCATTATAAAGCTACTTTCATAACACTGAAGCAAATCGTACAGTGACTGACACGAACAAAATGACAGTAATCTGTCACTATTTCACATTTTCCACTAGGCTGATTCAAATAGTTATTTATGAACCTTACACTTCAATGGTCACTTTGATGACTAAGCCATAAATTAGAATGTAAAGTGCATATAAATTTGATTTTAGAGTAACAATAAATTGTCAACAAAGAGGGGTATTATTTAATTTCCACCGACATACTATGAAAAAGTCGGCAATACCAAGATGATCTACATCATAATAAACCCCAAACTTAGCAAAAAACTGTATGCTACATCTCATGTTTGCTTCAGTACTTCTGCATTTAAAAATAAAAACACTTTATATTATCCTTGGTTAGTTTTAAATATAAAGTCTTAATAATGCCAGATGACTTCATTACTTAGATCTTCAATTAAATGGGGAGGAAGAATGAATTTTTTTCCACAGAGTATGATGAAATTTAAGAGCAAGTAAATATTAATATGAATTTAGATGCTAAGGTTTTTAATAGTTCCAATGAAAAACTGGCTTTAAAGACAGTTGCTGTTTTTACAATATTTATCTCTTGCTTTACAGTTGAAAGTGAGTGACACTGAAACATAACAGAAGTTCTGCAAAGCACAAAAGTTCTCAATTTTTTACAGCAAAAAAATCCTTATTACCGAAACATCAAGTCTTACAGGGATTTTTGTAAAAAGAATTATCTTGATAAAATAATTTTCTTTTATCAGATTATTTTTTGTTAAAAAGTTCCATTGTGTATTATGTTACTCTGTGTGTTACTGTCTGTTACTCCTGGGAACATGTAAGATAAACCCTTCCAAAACTGAACGCTTATACTTTGTCTGGAAAATTTCTACAAGTATGACATTTAAGATTTGATTTAAGAGATACTTCAACAACTGAACCTGGGTCCAGGCAGATGCACAGCAAGAAGGTATAAATGAAGTTAATCCTATTGTGTGATGCTATTGGTGAGAACTCAGCACCACACTCTCAAAAAACCTGGAGACAGGTTGTGTTAAGTGCATTAACACAGCAGAAAATCTGACTCCACCTCACAGACTTTACGCTATAAATATCTGCAGCCACGAGGTCCCTCCATAGCCACTGTCCCTTGAGCAGGGATGCTTCTCAAGGCGAGGTACCCCATGTGGTACCCAGGCTGAGAGATACCTCACCTGACACCAGACATCAACAGGTTGGTAACTGATGTTTTTTGCTTGTATGTAACATTTAAGATACATATAGCAAGCTTAAGCAGTAATTTTTGTATCCCATACTAACTTAAGGGTAGTATGTAGTGGAGCATTGACCGCCAATCTGTTTGTAATAATTAAGTATTTTACATACATAAATTTACTGATTAGAACTCGAGAGACTAACTACTAGGTCAGATTTGTACAAGTGATACCAGACTCTTCTCCTGTGACACCCCTTCCTTCATTTTCTTCTCCAGCCTCTAGTACTTCCCTGGAGATGTATCAAGGATGTCAAGGCTCTCCAAGACAAAACCTCAAAAATAAGAGCTGAAAAGACTAATTATCACCTACAGATACGAGAAAAAACACCATAATATTTAAATGCAACTGCATTGTAGCAATCCAATCTGAATTGTTTCTTTGAGAAACACTTAAAATACAAAAATAGCAGTGTTTAGGTTAAAAAAAGATTGCAAAACTATGGTAGCACAAAACAACACCTGTTCCTGGAAGAAGACACGCCAAAGAAATAATTTAAGTTGCACCTAAGTATTCATACTTAATTGTCAAATCAAAGGGCCCAGCTTCCTACTGAAATAAGAATCCATCTAACTGACCTGTGGCTTGTTTAAAGATGCATGTTAAAACAAACCATGGAGGAACAGGTGCACATATTCATTTGATGCTTAATAAAAGTACTACTGAGCGTTGACTGGTGTCACCAAGTGAAGATTTTGCAAGGAGGAACTGCTTAAGCATTGCAAGTGCCCTTAGAGAGTTCAGATGTAGAAACTTGCTTCCTTCCAATTTCCAGTGGCCACTGCAGACAGACAGTATGTATGAGATGTATGGGTATGTATGAGAAGTTAAAAAGTATCTAAAGTTCAACGAAGTCTAATTTATGTCTAAATGAGATGTTATAAATGCTACTCAGACAAGAAAAATATTGCCAGCGACTCAAATAATCCAAAGAAAAATGTATCATGCTGTATGGACACATTTACCCAGAATTTACTTAATTCACTTTAGGATTTTTTCGTTCTAACACTGTATCAGGACATAGGAAAAAACAAACATGGAAGAAGGCAAGACTATTTGAAGTGAGTGTCACACTCATCCTTCTAAACCTATGATGTGAGGAGGAAAGGCTGAAGAAAGGAATCTAATACACATAACCTAGAGGAAACAGATTCAAAGGAAAATTAGGGCAGAAAAGAGAAGCAGAGTGAAGAGACAGCAAAACAAACAGCAGAGAAGGTAACAAGAGCATATAAACTTTTGACAGCAAGGCCTGTTCCAGTTAATGGAACCAACAACCCTAAATCCCCCTATTGCAACCATCATGTACAAACCGATGTTTCCCATGATTTCAAACTCAGACATACAAAAATCAACATTCATCTATGGATGTTTTGAGCAAGGATTTATTTTTTCCATCTCCGGTGGCATAAGATAGTTAACTGAGGAGGGTACAACTCTTAGATAAAATGAGAGAAATAAACATACCTGCCGACGAATAACCTCTAGGTTTGCTTTGGCTTTGTTCACTAGTTCTTCTACTTTTTCAGAATCCTTTATATTCTTGTTTTCTCTGAAGGCATCTCTTATCCTTCTGATGGCATACGTTCTAAACACAAACAATAGCAAGATGTGTATTCACAGGTGTGCCACAATTTATGAAATTTCAACATTCCTTAAAACAAGCTAATGTAAAGAAAAAAATGCATACACACACATACACATACATATTTTGCCCAATTTTATTGCTATATCTTTTTATTCAGGGTCTTGTCTTGCCAGAATTCAAACAGTGTCCAGATTCTTTAATTAAAAAAAAAGTGGGTTTACTGGAAGTTGTTGTAGAAACATTTAATATTTCACATATCAATCCATCCTTAGTGCTGTAACAATACTGTTGGATGTCTGGCATGAATACTGCAAAGCTCAATAACAAAACAAAAGCCTAAGGACCAGAAAGTCATTTCCCAGATTATTTTGAATCAGTATGACTATTCTTAACCTGCATATTTTAAAGGTCATTGAGCAAGCCACTAAATACATTATATATTTTTACTAGGTCTGATGTTGTAAACTAGCAGTGAACAAAGGCAGACTGATGGACCAGCCATAACAAAAAGGACTCGTTCCCTGTCATCCTTTTCTTCTCCTGCCAAGGTATATTTCACCTCTCATTCCAACATCTCCTCATCCATTTTCCCACTAAGAAGCAATAACAGGACATTATTCTGCAAGCAAGAAGATGCTATGGTCTCTGCTTTCAGAGAGGAAGATCCAAAGCTGTACCCTTTTCCAAATGCCTCTTCTTTCCAACTGCAGTCTGCAGAATACTGCTCAATACGAAATGGGGCCCATTTCCATATTAGAATAAAATTTTCAGACTTAGAGGTAGATACTTTCTTTACATGGGTCTTTGGGAGGGGCAGGAAAAATGGCAGTAAACTAATCCTGCTCAGCTATGTCAATAGTGTCCCAATTCTGGACCACCACATCACATCAATATCACTTTTACTTCAGAAAGTAAAACCCTACATGTGGCACTGGAAAGAAACAAAAGGCTGCTGCAAATACTATAAATAGTTTAATATTTCAACAACCCTTTTCAATCTTGTATAACAGTGGAACTTGAGAGACAAAATTGGCTAAAACACTACCAAAAAATGCGAAGACAATGTTGAAAAATAAAATTATTGCAGGAGGAGACTGAAGAAGGGAGAGGAAGAAGAGGGAAGATGAATAGCCAGTGGCACTCTGTTCCATTAGATGGTGCTATCCAGCTCCTAATGCAGCTTTCACCAGCCAAGCAGTGTATTTTCTCTTTGAGCTCATAAATAATACATTTCAATCACAGGAATCAGGATGGTTATGGAGTGCCACTCTGCTGCCGCACACTGGCAGATGGCGCGTGCTTTTAATTAGGGCCTGTTCACCTATAATGTGACACTGGGGTGCAGGAGTGAGTGTGTGTGTGTTTGTATGTTTGAAGTTAATAGAATGTATTAAATATGGAAGCTCATTCTCATCTGCAGCTGCTGTCCCAGCAAGATTTGAAGGGGAAGCTGATTATTTCTTCTAGAAAAGAAACAACCTCAAATCATTAGGATGTAGTATAATTCTGTTGCTTGATAATGGATTGATTTCAAATCACCCCATATACATATGTAGGTTAAACTGTGCAGAAACATATATTTTCTGAAAGGACATGTTTCCAAGAGATACAAAGACTAACATAAACATATTTAGCTTAAAAGTAAAAACAACACCACCACCAAGTATCCATTAGTGGGTACAAGTCTTTCAAAATGCAATACAAACGAGTAAACGCTATCTACATAAAAAAGATAGATGGGACAAAAGCAAATTCTTGTTCAGTATAATGCCTACAGCTGGTTGTTTTTTTTTTTGTTCTGTACATATGATGCATTAATTGTTACATCTTGTTTCTCTTCCTCTCACTACATCCAACAATTGTTGAGAAAGAAGAGATACATACTTAGAAAACAGATCAATTTTTATCTATAATCATAAAGTTGCACTGTTTTTACCTTTTATGATTTCTTTAAACTTTTATGAATATTAACACCCAAAGGAAGTCATTTTACATAGTCTTTAACACAATCTTAATTCTACAGCTAAATCCATGTATCCCCACTATTCTCTAAACACACTTTAAAGACTAGCTCTATATCCTGACACTACTCTTTACCAAGGTTACATTGAGATTTAATATATCACTTAAAATAAGGATGAGCTCAATTCAAAGCTCAAACCCAATACTATAATGACTGTAAAACATCCTTTCCTCCCCATTGAGAGGTGCCAGGGGAACATTTTACCAACATTCAAATTCTTTAAAATTATGTAAAAAGTGTTAAGATATAAACAAACTGGCAGGTTTGGAGTAGAGGGTTTTTTTGTGAGTGTTTTTTCTTTTAAATAACAACTTTTTATATGCAACAACAGTTGTGAGCAGTGTCAAATCCAAACCTCAACACTCTCTCCACTTCAAGAGTTTCTGAACTGAGTAGGCACTAAAAGCAAGAACTACCCTAAGAACTGCGATATTGCTTCAAGTCCATGAAAAAACGGAGCTCTTCTGAAAGTACAGTAGTGTATGTAAGCAACATATAGTAAAGATACACATGCTACGAAAAGAACTTGTTCATTCAGACATATATCTGTTGGGGTTTTTTTAAAGAGCACTGCTCCAAAGATCTTCTGGTTGATAAACAGAGTGTTCAGGTGATCAGCTACTCTAATGGAGTGTATTTTCAGTTCAAGAAGCATAAATACTAAACCCAAACGTACCATTTGAAGGCACAGCTCAAAATGCCAGTGACAGTGGTTATCTTTATGAAACTTCACAAGAGTAACCTAAAAGAAGCACTATCTGAAGACAGAGAGGCAGATGAAAGGCAGATTGGCAACTGAACAAGTGGCTGTACTATATGGATGATTATTTATCCAAGGGGGCACTGAGGAAAAGAGGGCATACAGCACTGCAACAAGTTTAAGCCAATGTGAGTGAAGAGGAGCTGCTGCAATTTTGCCATGCTCCCTGGTAGGCACAAACCCTCCCTCTGCCTCCTTTAGATGAGCACAGTCAGTCTGATTTGGCCCAAGTGAGCCAGACCAACTTGATAACCTGACAGAAGGCCTATGTACTACAAGAATTAACTTCATTTTTTGCTGTTTTGGTTTTTTGTTTCCAGATTAGTGAGCTTCATATACTCTGCATGGGATTGGATGAGTATCAGCACTTAGAAGGAGGGAATACAGCAGTTCTAATTTTGATGGATATAGTTTGCAATTGATCCCTTTCAGAAAGGCTAAGCAAGTCATGTAAACAAAGGGGACTCTTCAGTGAGAAGGTACCAAGCAAACTCTCCAGAGAAACAGAATGGGAAAGCAATTTTGGATACATACACTCAAAGAGCTCCTATAGACCTTTGGGAAAGGTCTAATTCTTAATGCAGTAGTATTCGTTAAGAAACATAATGTAAATGAAAACTTGAACTACATTTCACAATGCACTGTTTTTTTCACTATTCTTTGAAAACAGATATTGAAAAATGGCTGAAAGACGCAATAAGGCATTTTGCTTTTGTCATCCAAGTGCACTGAAATTTTAATAGAGAACACCTTTGATTTTATCTTTAAAGCAAAGACTTTCCAGCAAGCTAGTGACAGTGGAGCTCAAGCAAGAGCGTACAGTTGAATATATTCACTTGGCACTCTCTTACTGTGCACACTCAAAACACTTCTTGTGATCTCTACTTACATGCATCTGTCACACAATTAGTTCCCAATTAAATCAAAAGAATGTACTCAATGAGTAATAGACTTGGTGCAATGGCTTCAGACCACAGCCACCGCAGGTGGGTGGCTACACAAGGTAACAGATGCACATCAGCAGAAAACAGAAAGAGTGGCTGGGGGTTAATGCGCGAACAACACCAGGGCCAAAACATTACTGCAGACTCACAGGCAACGGGCACTACCTGCTAATGTTAAGAGACAACAATGACTCTAAATAATAGTAGAAAACACAGAGAAAACAGTATTTGTCCTAATACTCTACCTTGAAAGAGTTCCTTTTTTTTCTTCTCTGAAGCACAATCAAAAACCTAATGTGTCCTCAAAAAAATGAAGCCTGTAAGAAGCAAAGTCTGAACTAACGACTATTAATGAAAAATGAAATCGCAACTGAGGTACTTCAGAAAATAGTATCTGCTCGGGGATTTAGATATTTTTATTTCAAAATGTTTACTTATGTCACGCCTGGCCAAAAAAAATTAAAAATCTTTGTGCTTTGCTAAGCCAGAGTGTAAAAAAAGAAGGTGAAACATCAGGCAAACATACTTTCTTTTTTAAGTACATAGTACCAAGCTTTCAAAATAAAACTAGCCAAGCAATGTCTTTCTCAGAACCAGTTTGCATTTACCAGTATCACAACATGTTAAAGGCTTCAGTCATCTTTCCAAGACACATTGACAAACATGTTGACATCTCTTGTCTTTGTGATTGTCAACAAGTACAATGTACTGTACCACACCACAGTTATAGGCAACAGACAGCGAAAATAATGGCTGTTAAAAGTTGTCAGCCATTGAGTGCACATGCAAAGATAGAAGAGGAGGATTGTGGTACGTATACTGTGCAAGCAAAGCAGAGTACAAGGGAAGAGCCCAGCAGGTTAGAATATTCACAACTTTCAAAAAAGGTCTAGAGTAAAATGCACTTTTCCTTATTAGTTTGAGCTGTATTTAATAAATTAAGGCAAGTGATAAGTAGTCAACCTCTAGGAAGCCCACTAGGGTTAATAATTCTGGAATGAATTATATGATGCTTTTATTTCAGGACACAAGGAACAAAAGTGGAACACTGATTTAGAATACAGTACCATTATATCAAGTGAGGGATCCTTTTTATAAAAAGGTCAGCTTTCTCTCACTAAATTATATTTTCTTACGACTGCTGCCTTCCAATTAACATCTATTAACTTAAGGTAGAAACAACATGAATTTTCAGAATTTTCCATTATTACTAGCAAAATGTGCACCAGATGAGATTTGCCTTACTATATTTTCAGAATTACATGTCATTTAG